GGGGAGGGAGGGAGGGAGGGTGTGGCCAACAAATGAATGGGCAGACGCATACCCCTGGATGCGGACGCGGTGTGCCTGTTCAGCAACGGATCCCAGCAGATTTATGTCCTCGTACTTTGAGAAATGGCGATGGAAGGTTTGCCTGCAATTGCAAAACACATCTTGTGCAGCTGTGTTATGTTGAAACGAGCCAAAAACAGGCAAACAGGAACACAATACAGGAAAAGAAAAGATGGAGAGAAAGGTGGCTGGCTGTATTGGAAAGCCACACGAATCCTGCAAGTCAAATCGATCGCACATAATCGCACATAGAATTGAGCACAGCACAGGCGATGATCGTGATTGGCTGTACCGAAAGGGGCTGGCTGTATTCAAAAGCCATGCTGAATTGCACATAATCACATGTAGAGTTCTGTACGCACGATGAGTTGCCCGAGTAAACCGATGGATAACACAAGCGTGTGTCATCCATGACTGCCACAAGAGTACAGTGTTCACAAACAGTCTGTTGTTTTCCTTCTCGAGGGAACCATGAAGCGACATCGAGTTGCTGACAGAACTTGGGGCGACTTCCAGGCCAGATGCAGCCATAATGGGGAAGGCAGTTTGCATACACTCATGCAGGCAGAGGAGGAGGGCAATATACAGACCTGAGGGCGCTACCGTCTTCACCCGAATAGAACACCCGGTCATTATAGCCGTATTTGGGGCGACTTCAAGTCCAGATGCAGACATAATGACCGGGCGTTCTATTCGTGTGAAGACGGTAGTAAAACACAAGCTTCTAGAAACAGCAATACAAATGTACAGCAGAAATACAAAAGCAACCACTTTTCCTGTCCAATCCATCATGGAGCTGCTGAGGGTGGAAAATGCTCACAGGACATGAAGACAGATGCCTGAGATTATTACGATGGATAGACGAAATGCAGGCAGGTCCAGAAAGGGTCAGCACTTCAGCAGTTGGAAATGAAAATGCAGAGCTGGAGCTGAAATCTAGAAAGGTTTACATGTGACAGCAGGCTACATACTGCAATCACACTGCCCTTGAATCCAATTCCCCAGGTTTGAACACTCGATTGGAGGATCAGAAAAAGTTATTCCACTTCACTACGGCACTTGAATACCAACAGACTCGAAAAGGGAGCAAGCGAAGTCTCAATGCAGCGCTTGTAGAAATGTCCAACAGAAAAATATTGCAAAGACACCAAGGCCGGTTCCTGAGGGCCTGGCGCCAACTCCCGCTGCCTGACAAACCCACTAGGTGGGAGGAAGTGATGCGTCAGCCCCTTTTGGGGAACAGGAGGACTACAGACCGGTGCGGCAGGCCCGGGCAGGGTGTATTGCAGCTCGGACACCCCGTGGAGCAGCTGGGTCACAAAAGGCATAATCAGAATAAAGGAGATATGGGACTCAGGGAAGGGGGACTGGAAAACAGTGCCGCAACTGAGGGCCATACTAAAGCACTGTCACAATGTTGAAGAGAACACTGAATTGTCGATCTTTGCTATCCCCCTAGACTGGGTGCGCATCCTGTGCAAAGGGCCACGGCTGGCAGAAGGAGACTGGGTAGCTGCCCCAGGTGACCCAGAAAGTGTAGGAAATATGGTGGAGGCACGTGCGGATGAAATGGTGGTTAACCTCTTCCACATAAGCAAGGATAATGTGCTCAATCGGTACACCCCAAAGGTGATGAGATGGTGGAGGAGTGCGGACCTGCACAGGATCCGCGTGCTGCGGGATAAGGATGTATGGATCGCATACCAGCCAAATACCCCCGTGGAAGAGCTCCCCTTTGACCCCAAGGAGTGGCAGTGGACCACTACACAAAAATTTAGGCCAGGGGAGAATGCAAAGTTGCATACCTTAACCGTGAAGGCTACGTACCGTCTGTTGCGACCAAAGGTGAACATAAAAGAAACGGTGAAGGCCCGATGGAGGTCTCATTTCAACGTAGGGATTGAGGCAATCCGCCCCATCCGATGGTTCACCACCACAAGGTCTGGGCCAGCAAAGATGGCCTCGCTGCAGTGGTAGATAGAGCATCGCTGCCTGCCCACCAACGACTGGCTGATAGATCGTACATATCTAGAGCAGAAGGGGCGGGCGCTACCGTGGTGTAAATCGTGCCACACTGCCTTTCCCCCCCCGAGGAATCCGGAAACCATACAGCACATATTCATGTAGTGACCGGGGGCTGTCCTCACATGGCGATCGTGGGATAGGATCTGGACCCTGTTGGGCACTGGGTCCACCTGGCCATGGGATTGGAGGGCCATATTATGCGAGGCCCCCGCGGACAGCACTTTTGAAAACAACATGTTTAAGATAGGGAGGAAAGCTGTTATGTGGACCCCCTGGAGAAAACGATGTATACATGCCATTGAGGGGGTCCGCATAGTTGGGGAGGAGGTAACAGACATGATAAAACACTATATGCAACAAGAGCTCATGGTGCAGTGGCAAGAAGTTAAAACAAACTGGAGTTGTTTCACTCATCAAAAGACATAATACAAGCAATTCATCAATTCTCTGGGGACTGGTTGGGCAGTGAGAACGGGGGCCGGATCACCATCGTCAGATGGGACGGCCGGTCCGCCCAGGAGTGTAACCTGGAAGAGTTCAGGAGAGACTACCGTATTCAGAGACTGGACTACGGTGGGTCAGGAGATCCCCCTGCTACCACCAACAGAATTTCCCGACCCCTTCCCACCCCACCAGCTGGCAATGGTGGACATGCAATGGTGAGCAAGATCACAGGTCGAAGGGACCAAGTAAGGACGGGGAAGGTCTACAATCAGGATATGGGAGACACCCGGGTCATATTGAACGAGCGTTAGAGGGCGGGCTGGTAGCTGGTCACGAGAGGCCGTGTTATTCAGAAGAAACGGGGCGTAGCTGCTAGGGAAACGAGAGTCATCTGGCGGTCTGGTGCAGTCCGAAGAGGCGGCCCCATGCCCCAAAGTGTGCTGTTGTCAAACACATTTATCATTAACCCTGCGCAGTCAATCCCCTGGAAACAGGGCAATCAATACTGGCAGGCCTTCTGATGTACAGTGGGACGATGGACCCGCTTTCCAGCAGGTGCTGCTCGCCACCAATAGACCGGAGCACCCAGGACTCTTGCTAGGAGAGGGTGCTCGTATCACCTCTCCTAGCAAGGAGACTGGTTTTTCAACCCAAAAAAAAAAAAGATTACTGTAAGTCATACATATCAGGGCTGGTCCCCGGATGGACCGGGGACCCCTACCCCATCCGCGGTCCTCCCGGTTGAACCGGCTGGAGGCCCGGGCCGGTTCCCTCCCGGTTGCCCCAAGCGCATTTTCGCTGGGGCCTGAATTTTTTTTTTTGCCGGCGCATGTGTGCTCCCGAGGCCTTGTGGGGGTGGGCCCTGCCCTGCAATTTCAAAACCGGGTCCTGTAGGCCCGGATTTTTCAGGTCCAAAAAGTGGCCAATCTTGGCCGCCGATCATCGCAGATCAGCGGCAAAGGTCGGCCAGGACCCCATTTCTTAAGAAAAACGGGCAGAGGATATCCGCCACTGATCTTTGCAGATCAGCAGCGGAGAACCGCCACACATTTTTCTTAAGATGTGGGTCGGATAGGCCCCTTCTCCATTTTGTCATCTTGTGGTCCAACGGACCAGTTACCATTGGCAACATCTGATGCTCTTTCACCCTCAGCCACGAGGGGAACACTATGCTTGTGATGAGGCTCTGCTGAGATTATATCCTTCTGCAACGTCCCTGCCATCTGTGGAAACATCTGTGGAAAAAGTTATGGGTTCGGATTTTGGCATCATGATGTCAGAGCCGTCCGAGGTGCAAGCCCAAGAATGGACCTAAGCTATATTCTTCTCTCTATCTATCTCGAATGGACCTTGCTCCACTACATGTATCTGGACAGACTGCCAGGCAAGATACTTCCGGACTGATAACTCGCCTTATGTAGAAACCAACAAACAGAAAACGCTCTGCCTCCACGAGCTGAAAGCTGGAACCGTAACTCTTCTGCTGTCGAGTTATACTCTGGAAGATCTATAACTTCTGGCAAGGACCTCCTCTCATCATATCTGGTTCAGCTCGTGGGGTATCAACATCAAATGACACACTCCACGAAGTGCTCCAGCCACGGGGGGGTCGGATAAGTGAACTTGCTTACTTGGCCCCTCCCCTGGAAGCCATAGTTGCCTGAATATGTCAATAGTAACCCGCTGCCCCCCTCTGGAAGCCCCCTGAAAAATATTGCACCTTGAAAATTTTATTGCGGATTCCAACAGCTCTTGAAGAGCGCAATCGGAATCTGCCGGGGAAAAAAAAAAAGAAGACATTTGGGCACTTTTTTTTCAAAAGCCCTTTCCCGGTTCACCCCCCCTGGGCTGGTCCGGCTCCGGTTGGACCGGGGTAGCTCAACCGGCCGGTTGCCGGCCCAGCACTGGTACATACGGTAACAGAGATTAAATACACCCTCAGTTATGATCTGTTATGTTCAAGTAATAACTGTTGCTACAGTATTCGACGCCATTCAAACATTGAATCATGAACAAAGAAGAGCTACCAATTTACCCTCGAAATTTACAGATGGGTTACCAATACATTTGATCGTCGGCATTGAGAAAAATGAGAATATTTTCTGCATCGCACATCGCAAAAGAGCTTTGTAACATTGGGATAAGCATTAAAAAAAAAAAAAAAAAAAAAAAAAAAAAAAAAAAAAAAAAAAAAAAAAAAAAAAACCATGGTGAGCAGCGTAGTCTCTCAGACTTGCATCCGCCGTTGAAACAGCCTTCAAACGTGCAGTCAATCTTCAACACCCTGCACTTGCAAGCCCAACCATTGTTCATCTGGCGAATTGGTTGATCCATGGACGGGACTTGCAGTCTTCGATGAACTGTACGGCAGTCGCGAATGCCAATATGAGACACATGCTTTGCGGCCCAACATGATGCCATGCAAGGTACCAACCTTCAGGTCCCAGACGTTGCGCACGAGGCTGTTCCTATCTTGAGCGGCGTTCCTGGCAGGATGACACAGAGAAGCAGTAGAAAGATAGCAAGGTGGAGAGAGATGGTGGAAGGCGATAGGAGAGATGTGCAGGTGCATCTGAGGGATTGCTGAGGGGATGGATCTGACAGGGAATGTGGGTCCAGGAATATATGAGATAGTCGAGGAAGGTCAAAAGCATGGGGAAGCAGCCGGTGGAGGAGTGAATGACGAAGCTGAAGGAATCGCGACAAATTATCGGACATCTTCATGATAATCGGTTCCGTCTGGCGCATGAAAGTTCAGGGAGGTTGAGAGTACGAAGCAGCCGTGAGAACAGGAGTTGTCGCTGGTAAACTGCAACAAGAAGAAACCGTGCTCTTGGAGCTGGTGCACTGGTGCCTGCCATGGAAACGAATGGAGGGCAAGAGGGGTGGGTGAGGTGGTGATCGTGGATTCAGGGGAGAAGATAGGTCAATGTCGCAGCGGGGGCTCCTCATGCACCATCGATCTTTCCTTGGCAGAGGATGGTGGTGAGTTGCATTGCTAGTGAGCAACCCTTAGAGAACGCAACCGGTGGGACAGTTGTGTATTTGAGATGTATATAGTATATACACACACTAGAGAGTTTCTGGGCTCTAATTGAGGCTATGCACACACCGTGAAGTCATGCTGTGATGTGAGTATGCTCCAACGATTCTATAGCAGTGTTGCAATGTATCAGTCCCTGCCAGCAGCAGAGCATTCGGCAATACGACTTCTTCCCCTCCTTCAAGCAGAAATGGAGTGACAACTCTTTCAGCAATGACAGTGTGTATATGGCTTCGATTACGCGGCCTCCTGGCCGTGATCGAGGCTTCACAGTGTGTATATGGCCTCGATTACAGCCAGGAGGCCGCGCAAGTCTTCAAGAAGATTGATAGTTTACAAGTGAGTAAGGTTATACATGCACTTGAAGACTTGCACGGCCAACTGGTCGTAATCGAGGCCAGATACACACTGTGAAGTCCTACTGTGACGTGAAGAAGTACCTGGTTGCGATTGAGCTTACGTACACATTCTGCCGTCCTACTGTGATGCGGTATGGTCGGACAATTCTACCACAGCGTTGCAATGCGTTGCTCCTTCCGAGCAGCAGAGCCTTCAGCAATACGACTGATACCATATGTGATGTATTCCAACTTTCCGGTGCCACGACATAGGCAGTTGGACCTGAGTTTCGCGTCGCAATCACGGGAAATCAGTTCCGCGCAGTTGCCAGCACATTCCGTAAGATGGCTGACCTTGCCACGTTTAAAGACTCAGAATTGGAGAATACACAGCAAGAAAGATCTATCATTTTGTTCCAAGAGTCCAAGTCTAAAATCATTTCCATTTTTGACCATGTTGGAAGTGCAGAGCACAGACCATCGATTACCGGGTGATTCTGCTGCACATCGCCAATGTCGCGGAACTGAGTTCCCGTGATTGATATGCACCAATTCATGCTTGATGCAGCGGTTTTTCTCCCAAAATCATTTCAAGATGCAAAGGTGAGTCAATCTTGCTTTGCTGGGAGGCTCTCCCCATGGATCATAGGGAGGAGACTTTGCCCGAGAGAGGTTTCCGTAAGATCTTTGTGTTTTGCGGTACCATTTGGAGTGGTGTGGCGGTGTGTTGAGGAAACGATTGTCCATTTGTCCTCCGCAACCGTGATTAAAACACGCTTTCAACAGGCTGGTTATGAGTCTTATATGACATAACTGTGTTGTTACCATCAATAATCGCTTTGTGGGGAAAGTTGGGGCACTCTCATCGTTAATAACGACAAGCCTTGTTCATTTCCCACCCACATGCAGGTCATCAGCATCATCTGATCTGCCATTTGCAGAGAACAACGCCAGCACAGGTCTGCAAAAAAAAAGGACAAAGAGAGTGCTGAGACCTCTTTCAGTTACCTCTTAAACCACAGTGCAGAAAATAGACAGCTGAGTCATTCACTCTGACAGCTCACAGCAGACTGACGTGCAGGTTCCCGACGTCAAGTGAGTCGAGTCTCCTTTCACATGCCGATATGTGCATGGGAGTCGGGTGTGTGTGAGGTGTTGTGGGGCAGCGTGAGATGGCATGAGGAGCGGCGAGGGGGGGGGCACGATGAGGGAGCATGGAGCGCTGTGAGCTGTCACAAGCAGGTGCGAGTTGGTACGAGGGGGTGTGAGGGGGTGAACAGATAACGTGATGAGATAGAGATGACCGTGGTCAGCTAGCTGGGTAGTCTGTGAGCTGTCACAAGCAGGTGCGAGTTGGTATGAGGGGGCGTGAGGGGGTGAACAGATAACGTGATGAGATAGAGATGACCGTGGTCAGCTAGCTGGGTAGTCTGCCTTGCAGTCAGGCTACACTCGTCGGACTCCTGAGCATAACACTGATTGCCATTCTGGCACTCCTTCAAGGGGGTGCCATTGTCATCTTAGACTGCCTGTGGATGGCCGTTCCCTGTTTCACTCACCAGATACACCAACAAGACGAGGTCATCTTGCTGCAACAGGGTCGGTGACATGAGGCAATGCAAGCTCTTTTTTGGAACAGGTTTGCGATTTGCAAGCACGCAAACAGCACCACTTGCGCCGCCGCAACCCTTAGTGTGGTGACGGTAGAGTTCTTCCAGTGACTCTCTCCCAGAAGGCACTGATTGTTTTGTTCTCTACTGAGCTCGCACACTCTGTTCCCACAACAGCAGATCATGAGCTTCTCCTGCCTATGCTCTGTTTCTGCTAGGGCGGGCAGACCATGAGCTTCACTCTGCCTGTTCAATGTTGTGATGTGCTTAGAATGGTCATTGCATCCCTCATGCAAACTCAGAGATTGAAGCACAACTATCAAGCAAAGTCTGTGAGCCACACACTACTTCGGAAGCAGCAGTACCTCAACATGCTATGACTGTGGCAACTGACTGAGAAGGAGGCTGGGTGGGCGGGTGCGCGAAACATTACAGAGGAAGAAGGCAAGCACCTACCTACCACCTACTTGGAGGAGGTATGCAGGAATATGAATGAGAACTTTTTTTTTTGGCTTCATGGAAGTTCATGCAACATTTGCAAGCACCTGGATGCTTCTGGCAGCAACATCCATGATGAAATACTTGGCCTGCTACGTGCAGGCAAGTCGCCCACAGAGAGATTCGGATGCGCAATTATGTGCCATGACACTCTCACGTTGGCAACTGAATAAGCCATTCGGAGACCGCTTGCCACAACCCCACAGAGGAAGTGGCAGGCAAAATACCAGTCTAACATTCCGACGCATGTGCAGGGGTGGGGTTACTTGGCGCAATATCCTGTGAGCAGCTGGGTATGTCCGGCCGTGGTACTGAAACTTGGGCGGTACAAGCAGGAGAAAGGTCGCAAACCCATGCAGTACGAGTGTTCACAGCTGGGGTATGTTGTGTAATCAATTCACTTGTGAAAGCATTGCAAGATAGGCTTGTCTGCGATCTTTTGTAAACGATTAAGGGAGCTTTACAATGGACACCTTCAGGCTTTGACTCTGGAGTTGCACTGGGGCCTGTTAATGCCGGTGCTGCGGTGAGCAAGGTGATGGTAGGTTGAGAGCTTGACTGAAGACCCTCTGGAACTGGCGCCGTCACGAATAGATTTGTTTGCTGCCACTGTGGAAGATTGTGAATGGAAGCGGTAGGAGACAGCGCAATATACTGAACAGACTTCGCAGGTATCGGCAAGGGTTCCCTTTCACATCGTCTCAGTCGTTTGCGCTGTTTCCACGGTGTAGCTCCCTGAGACGCATCTCCGTCGATATGCAAGTGAAGGTTGAGATACTGATCTGGAGAGCGGGGCTCTGTCTTGATGGACAGCTCAGTTAGTGGAGGACCGCTGTTGAGGGCGGAATCTTCGGCAGCTGGCATACTCAATGTGCAGGACGCTGCTGGCGACAATGATGACGGGGAAGAATGTCCCACAACACCAGAATATGTCCCATCGGGAACATGAGGAATGTTATGGTTCATTGATGGCAGAGAAGCTGAAGGCAACAGCGGAAACCCGCAGGGCGAACTGAATGTGTTCGTTAGCGTCCACTGGGAACGACTCCTAGGAAGTGGCATAACTTCCTTTTCGCATCTCCTCAGACGTCTCAGGCGCTTCCACGGTTTAACATCCTGAAATTGTTGTCCAGAGTTTTCCTGCTCCACGGTGTTGCGAAAATCGCTCTCCTGAAAAGCAGTGGCATCATCCTTCTTCGCTGATTGAGCCAGCTGGGAAGCCATGACTGGAAGAGTAGGTACAGCAGCAGTAGCGGCAGTAGGAAACCTAAGATGCCTGTAACATCGTCTCACACGTTTACGCTGTTTCCATGGCGTGGCTGTGGTGATGCTCACCTGGGCGGCTGGATCTTCGCATTTCGTGTCAGAGTGGACTGCACTGGGCAAATTGTCACGCGGATCAGGAGTCGAGATTCCTGCATCAGTCATGGTTGATGATGGAGTACAGGAAGGAGGGAGCAGGCTCCTAGTGTCTGGAAAACTGTGGTGGTTTTGACAACCAACACCACCACCACCACACTGTGGCGTCAGTGTCTCTCGCAATGGCGGAGATGAAGGAAAACTCTGACCGCCTTGGTTCTGCATTACAACTGTTTGTCCAACCATTTCAGGTGTGGTTGGCAATGGAGTGCAGGGAGATGGAACTGGGTGCTCATCTTCGGGAAAAGTGGGGTTGTTCTGAGAACTCTCACCGCCACCACATTCTGGCGGTCCTCGAAACTGGGTGCTTTGGTTCTGCAACACAACTGTTTGGGCATCCATTTCAGCCGCCGTTGGCGATGGAATGGCCAGACACGGATGCAGGTGCTGATCATTGGGAAATTGCTGCTTATTCTCAGAAGTCTCACCACCACCACCACCACATTGTGGTGTCAGTGTCTCTGGTGATGGGGAAGATGAAGGACAACTGAGTCTCCTTTGGTCCTGCACCACAACTGTTCGCGCAAAAACCGTTTCAGACATGTCTGGCAATGGAATGCCAGGGAACGGAAGTGGGTGCTGATCTTTGGGAAAACTCCGCTTCTTCTCAGAACTATCACCACCCCCACGCTGTGGCGTTACTGTCTCCCGCAATGGGGAAGGTGATGTGCTTTGGTTCTCCGCCACAACTGTTTGCGCAAGCATTTCAGTTGTGGTTTGGGATGGAGTGCAGGGAGATGGAAGTAGGTGCTGATCTTGGGGAAAACTGTGGTTGTTTTGAGAACTATCACTGCTGCCACATTGTGGCATCAGTGCCTTTCGTGATGGTGGCATCAGCGCCTTTCCCAAAGGACAACTCTGAGCATTTTGGTTCAGTGGCGCAACTGTTTGCGGAACCATTTCAGTCCTCATTGGTGATGGAATGGCAGGAGATGGAAGCTGGTGACGAGTTTCGCGAAAACTCTGGTTTTCCACAGTACTGTCATCCCCACCGCACTGCGGTGTCAGTGTCTCCCGCAGTGGGGAAGATGATGAACAACTCTGAGTGATTTGGTTCCACACGACAGCTGTTCGTGCAACCATTTCAGCTGTGGTTGACATTGGAGTGCGCGGAGGAGATGGAAGTAGGTGCTGATCTTCGCAAAATCCACCACCACATTGTGCCGTCAGTGTCTTTTGTGATGAGGAAGATGAAGGACAGCTGAGAAGAGTGCTTCGGTTCGCCACCACAACTGTTTGCACAACCGTTTCAGACATGGTTCGCAATGGAATGCCAGGAGACGGAAGCAGATGCTGCTGATGATCTTTGGGAAAAGTCGGATTGTTCTCAGAACTATTGTCACCACCATATTGTGGGATCGCTGTCTCCCGCAGCGGGGAAGATGGAGGACAACTCTGAGTGCTTTGGTTCTCCACCGCAACTGTTCGTGCAAGCATTGGAGTTCCGGTGGGCGAAGGAGCGCAGGGGGACGGAAGTAGATGCTGATCTTTGGGAAAACTCTGGTTGTTTCGAGAACTATCACCACCACCACACTGTGGTGTCAGTGTCTCTCTTGATGGGGGAGACGAAGCACGACTCTCAGCACTTCGGCTCTGCAGCACAACTGATTGTGCAGCAACTATTTCAGTCATTTCCATAAATGGAATGATGCGAGACGAAAGCAGGTGACGATCTTCGGGAAAACCCCGGTTGTTGTGCTCGTAACTATCACCATCACCACATTGTGATATCAGTGTCTCCCGCAATGAGGAAGATGGCGAACAGCTCTGAGTACTTTGCTTTTGCACGACGACCTTCTGTGCAACCATGTCAGTTGTGGCTGGCAACAGAGTGCAGGGAGATGGAAGTAGGTGCTGGTCTCCGGGAAAACTGCGATCGTTCTGGGAACAATCAACTCCACCACATTGTGTCATCCGTGTCTCTTGCGATAGGGGAGATGAAGGACAACTCGGAGGAATTTGGTCCCGCCACACAACTGCTTGGGTAACCATTTCAATCACCGTCGGCGATAGAATACCAGGAGACGGAAGCAGGTGCTGATTTCCCGGTAAATTCCCGTTGTTCTCAGAATCATCACCACCACCACAACCACCACCACATTGTGGTGTCAGTGACTCTGGCGATGGGAAGGATGAAGGACAACTGTGGGTGGTTTGGTTCTGCAGCACAACATTTTGTGCTGCAGAACCTTCAGTGACGGTTAGCGATGGAGTGCAGGGAGACGGAAGCAGGTGCTGATCCCTGGGAGAACTGTGGTGGTTGTGATAACTGTCATCACCACCACCACATTGTGGGGTCAGTGGCTCTTGCGTTGGCAAGGATGAACGACAACTCTGAGTGGGTTGGTTCTGCAGCACAACCGTTTGTGCAGCCATTTCAACGATTACACTTGTGGTCGCCAATGGAACGCAGGGAGATGGAAGTAGGTGCTGATCTTTGGGAGCACTGTGGTGGTTGTGAGAACTGTCATCACTGCCACCACATTGTGGTGTTAGTGTCTCTCTTGATGGGGAAGATGAAGGACAACTCTGAGTGCTTTGATTCTGAAGCATGCAATCATTGTGTTTGTGATGGCAGGGGGACGTCGGGGGGTTGCTTTCTGGTGCCAGTCGAGGAAAAGATGCAGTTTGTGGAATATTTTGAGTTGCAGTATTGGGACAAAGAGAGGAAACAGCAGGAACAAAGAAAAAAACAACAGGCACAAAGACAAACATGCGTACAAAATCGTTTCAATATCAATGGTCGCAATCGTATAGTTTTTCAATCAGCAATTACAGGATTGGGAGGAAGGGGGATGCGTGCAGCCAAGCATATAAAACTTATAAAGATCATTAAAGACTAATAAAGTATTATAAACAGAGGATCAAAGCGACAGTGACAGACAACAAATAGCGACCGCAACACCAACCAATTTGCTTGCCTCAAGAACATGCCACTGAAGATAGAATCGCAGATTTCAAGATACGCAATGCACTTTTGCAAAACTATTATCGTCTGTAAAAATTGACAACGCTTTCACAGATCTCTTTTCTACTTTTGCTTTTTGAAACCGCTAGAGTAAATTTTGGGTGACCGAATAGATGGATAATCAACCCCTGGATGAAATAATGAGGAACATTCAAAGGTAGCAAACGGCAAATGTAACATTCTCCTCCTCGATAGGACCACCACGAAGTGTTTGCAAACTTTGCATCCACTTCACTCACCCTCTGGTATCCGAACTTGATTTTCTTTTTCTTTCCTTCCCTAAACGAACTTCCTTTTCTTTTGTTTTTCTTCCCATTCGCCTTTCACCAATTGCTTCTTTTGTCCGGGAAGTAGAGAACACAGAAACAGAAACCGACGAGCAACAAACAGAAAAGGACCTTGCTCCACTACATGTATCTGGACAGACTGCCAGACAAGATACTTCCGGACTGACAACTCACCTTATGTAGGAACCAACAAACAGAAAACGCTCTGCCTCCACGAGCAGAAAGCTGGAACCATAACTTTTCTGCTGTCGAAATATACTCTGGAAGAGCTATAATTTCGGGCAAGGACCTCCTCTCATCATATCTGGTTCAGCTCGTGGGGTATCAATATCAAATGACATACTCCACGAAGTGCTCCACCGACGGGGGGGTCGGATAAGTGAACTTGCTTACTTGACCCCTCCCTGAGGAAGCCGTAGTCGCCTGAATATGTCAATGATAACCCCCTGCCCCCCTCTCGAAGCCCCCTGAAAAATGTTGTACCTTAAAAATTTTATTGCGGATTCGGACAGCTCTTGAAGAGCGCAGTCGGAACCTGCCCAAGAAAAAAAGAAAAAAAAAGATATTTGGGCACTTTTTTTTCAAAACCGGTTTCCCGGTTCACCCCCCCTGGTCTGGTCCGGCTCCGGTTGGACCGGGGTAGCTCAACCGGCCGGTTGCCCGCCCAGCACTGCTTCTAAAGGGAGAACGGATAAACAACAAATCAGACAAAAGCATTCACATCGCCCCCCACCCCAGCTGATTTTCGGAAAAAAAAGAAAAAAAATCAGGCAAAAGCATTGTTACATATCAGACCACTGAAAGTAACAAGAGTTAACGGTATGGTCCCACTGATGCCACATTTGTGCTAAAGCTACCTAGGACAAACATGGGAGCGGTGTGGCCCCGCTGGTGCTCCAAAGTTAGGACGAACGTGGACATAATTGGCTGCAGGTTCGTGTTTCGTCAGCACAAACATATCACGAATGTAGCACTACCGTCTTCACCTGAATAGAACGCCCAGTCATTATTGCCATATCCGCACTGAACATTGGACCAAATACAGCTGCTATATTGACCGGCCGTTCTCTTCGGGTGATGACGGTAGCGTACATCATTGTAGGGCAGTGCCACGGCAGCCATCAGCTGGTAAAAACTGGCTTGAGACCACAGCTATTTGATTTCCAAACACAGATGTAGACACACAGTCCCTTGTGAACTGCAGCAACAAGATTTTAGCTAGTGGTATTATAATATATTATAATAGTTCTTCAAATACAAGGAGATAACCCCCCAGTGCAGTAGGGTGTGTTACGTTCGGGCAAAGACGGCAGGAGACTGGCCCATCATGGTTTCCTTGACCTTCTGTTTTCCATGACGGTGGATAGAGAGATAACAAACAACAGAAACAGCTGGCATCAGTTTGGGAAGTTGCGAGGGGAGTGAGAGAGCTTACGGAGGGAGGAGAGGGGGAGAGAGGGGGAGAGAGGGGGAGAGAGAAAGCAAGAGAGAGAAAGCAAGAGAGAGAAAGTGACAGAGACAGAGACAGAGACAGAGACAGAGACAGAGACAGAGACAGAGACAGAGACAGAGACAGAGACAAAGACAAAGACAGAGACAGAGATTGTGGAACTGCCACAGCCATCGAGACAAAGACAACAGAATTTGGCACTCTGCCACACTGTCCTCTGAAAACAGGGAGTGCACTACGTAGTTTCTTCCGAGTTCTCTTTTCTAGAAAAGGGATGAACATTGGAGCACCAGAAATCACCCATGTCATGTAGCATAGAGGTGACCATAGAGGGAGAGAGGGAGAGAGGGAGAGAGGGAGAGAAGGAGAGAGGGAAAGAGGGAAAGAGGGAAAGAGGGAAAGAGGGAAGAGGGAGGGAGGGAGGGAGGGAGTGGAGAAAGAGATTGTGAGCGTGTTACAGTCAGGAATAGAAATTCTCAAGAATATAAAGAGAACAACGAAAGTTTGCCGATTGTCATTGTCTTTTGAGAGACAGGCAGAAAGTTTCATGACTGCTTCCCCTGGGGAAGCAAAAGCAGAGAAGGAAAATCAGAGCAGGCATGCAATTGTACCTCCTTGGCGGCTGAAACAGAACAGATGCAACCGATAATAAATGGATCAAAGGTTCACATCCTATTTGACATGGTAATGTTAGGGACTTCCCCCTTTGGACAGAGAAGAGGGGGGGGGGGGGGGGAGAGGGGGGGAAGGGGGGGGGGGGGGGGGGGGGGGGGGGGGGCGGGTCTGTGGTTTGCTTGGTCGTTATTGTTTTGTTTTTCTCTTTGGGAGGACAAATGTTTTGTATATGGGCATGTCTTGGAAAGGGAAGGGGGGGGGGGGGGGGAGAACAGGCAGACAATCAACGGCTCACCACAATGGAGGTATGCCACGTAGGGCAGTGATGAACACAGAGAGACAAGGAGGGACAAAGGGACTTGCCTTTCTCGTCAACCATATCTGAAGGACGGCAATGCAGTAAGGTACACACTCTCCAGGATTTTCTACCCACATCAAGGACCCTGAACCGGAGCTTGATCAGTGAAGTCGTGTTCGTCTTCCCGCTCGCAGTAGGCGGCTGGAGAACGGTCAGTTATGCGATGCACATGCGGATTCACTCATGACGATTGGATCCTACCCTACGGTCAGCATGCACACACTACACCAGAATGAAGACTGCCCAACGCAAGCGTGAGCGAACAGAGACAACAGCAGGAGCAGTGAGATGAGTCACATGTGCACATCAAAGACAGCATGTTGTAGTTGAAAGTCCAATGAAACAGTCGGTCACATCTCTCAATTTTTCCCTTGTCCTTTTCTCCATTTCTGCCTACGGCTCACCAGGCAGTTCTCAGTGGCAATAAATATTAAATATCTGATGAGTCGGTGAAACTCCGACGAAACAGTTTGTCACAGCCCCTCGTTTGTTGTCCTCGTCTCCCTCTCTGCCTACGGTTTACCGGGCAGATCTGTTTGACCATATATAACATATAATAATATTAATAAATCAAATTGCAAGGATTATGAGCAGGAGTGATATACAGAAAACCAAGTTGCAAGATCACGCAGAAGTCCACATAGTCATGTACCAAGCAGAGAGCTCAAATGCACCAAGATTCCATCCAAATAAGAGCAATACAATGAACTCATGAGCCAATGTTCAAGCCCTCAGGCCACACCAACGGTGTATTCAATGTCGCTCCTCTCTGTCTGGCGCCCAGCGCCCAGCCTACTCTACTTATCCTACCTAGCCTACCTACGATCATGCAACAGGCTCACTTCGACTTTGAAGACCAATGTACATGTCGTCAACACCAATGCCGACCTCCCACATACACCAGGTACGTACTCTCGTTTCCCTCATCAACCCGTCCACCCACTTCTGCGCCTCCTCCCGAAGACCCCCGTCGCCCTCCTCTGCCTATGCGCCCTGCAGCCCGGCTATGGCCGCTAGCACCTGGCCGCCCTGCAGCGCCCCTCACCTCTCAGCGCCCGCACGCCCCCCAGCCAGCAGATGCCCAAATGCAGACACTTGCATGTGAGCACAGCAGCATGTCCGCATTGCCTGCCTACGCCAGAATGCCCCTCCTTGGCTGGCTTGCTTCCTATATGGAAGTGGCAGCTGCTGCTGGACCCCCTGGGCCTGGCCGTGGAAGTTTCCAGTAGCTTCTGGTCAGGCCCCAGTGTCTGCGCCCAGGCCCATCTTCGACAGTTGAGGGCATAGGCCCTTTTCAGTTGGGCACACCCAGAATTTTCCGGGTTCCGAATGTTTGCTGCATTTGCACTGGCCCACAGGGTACATACGACGACAATGCTCCTTTCTCATTGGCCCGTGGCCACTTCGTGATGTATCGGCCTCACAACGTGTGTGCCCAGGGCACAACCACCTGGGCCCTGGGCTCAACTGCCTGGCGCAGTTGCTTCTTCTGGAAGAGCCCAGGGTAAGGCTCAGGTTGCATTTCAACCAACTGTCGTGCAGCAACTGTCTGAGACCCGCTTTCGAAAATGCTGAGATAAGGGCCTCTTCTGGCCCTCTCGTGAATATTCAGGCCCGCCTTCACTTAGGGCGGGCACGAGGCTTGCTGGGGGCCCACATTCCAGAACGTGTGCATGTTGCCCAGGGCCCCCTGAGGACACAGTCCTCACAAAATAAGATACTGTCACATATCTACCAAACAGTTTGGGAAAAATCGCAAACAGTCTAGATAATCAATTTAGCATGATCATCTAAAGCTTTTAGCGCTGTTTGATGAGCCTGCATAGTATTACGTAGTTGGTTACGTAAATGGTGCCCAAGGCGATGATGCTTAGCTGGTCTTTTCGGGTGATCAGCCACACTGGGACTGAATTAACACATAATATGGCGAAGTGACAATAATCGCGTAAAAGTTTTTTTTTTTTTTTTTTTCCGGTAAATGGAGGCTACGCTGTAGCAATTGCAGGTCAAAGTGCACTTTGAGAAACAAACGATAAAAACAGAAATACACAAAACAAACATGAAAAGCACACTGAAGTCGTTCACTTTTCTCATACTTTTTTTTCAACTCCCCCTTCACCGTGCCTCTCACATACAAGGCTCGCCACGTTGATGAAGTTGACCGTGAGCTGCCTGCATCTCCATGTGCCATAATGGCCCAATTGTACGGCCCAATTGTATGCTGTAAGGAAGAGGCAGACTAAAAGGGGAAAGTACGTAGTGTGGAACGAAGAGGAGAGGATAAGAAAAGGCTCAAGAATCAGTCTGTCCTTAACAACAGAAAGGACCTACATTGTAAGGATGAGGTGGACGAACACATGGAAGACCTAGCTGAGCATTCTCATTACAACAATTGCCACGACGGCTGGCACTGAGCATGCTCACCATACACCCACGACAAATTGCATGTCAATTGCAGGCCAAAATGAAGGAAGAACGGTCACCACAACAGACCATGCATTCAGTATAGCGCCCACGCGACGAGAGGCCGACACATCACGCAGTCACCGTGGCCCAATGAGAATGCAGCATTGTTGTCACACACCGACGGCAAGCCAATGAGAATGCGGCAAACACTTGGAGCCTGGAGGGCTGCCTGGACGTGTCCAACTGTAAAGGGCCCAGGCCCGTAAGAGCAAAGGTGGGCCTGGGTGCAGACATTGGGGCCCGACCGGAAGCTACTGGAAACTCACCGAGCCAGGCCCACGAACCAGACACAGGGTCACATTCTCCATAAAGGAAAGTGTCCTGCCCAGGCAGAGGCATTCTGGCCTAAGCAGGCAATGCGGGCACGCTGCTGCTTCGCCTTGCGACACCGCGCTTAGCAGGTAGGCCAGGGAGCATGCAGGCACAAGAGGTGAGAGGGTGCTGCGGTGGCAGCGGGCGCACAGCAGCCATAACCGGGCCGAGCGTGCGATAGCAGGGGATGGCAATGGTGCAGGTGGGAGGCGCATGAGGTGGGGAGACAGGATGTGATGAGGAGAGGAGAGACGTACCTGGTGTATGCTGTCGGTCGGCATTGGTGATACATTGGTCTTCAACTTCGATGTGATCTGGTTGCAAGAACATAGGCAGGCGCTGATAGGCTTAGTGTAGGCTGGGCGCTGGCACCAATCAGTAAGCGTGACATTGGATACTGTGTTGGTGAGGCCAGAGAGCATATACATTGACATACGAGTTCACTGTATTGCTCTTATTTGGATGGAATCCAGGTGCGTTGTGCTCTCTGCTTGGTACATGACTATCTGCGCTACTTCGTGATTTTGCCATCTGGTTTTCTGTCTATCGCTCTCGCTCATATTCCTTGCAATATCATGAAAGCTGCTACCAAATGGTATAGGCCATGTAAGATCTGTGCGTAATTGGCAATGACCCAAACAGGCCATCCTATCTCATCTGAAGACTTACCTGTGTTTCATATTTCCAAGTTAATGCCCTTTGTACCTCCTAAGGCCGAAAGTCAGAAAAGCATGCATCCTTCCACCAAGGATGGGAGTGCAGAAGTCGAAACAATTGTTCGCCATCGACTTGTATGGGCACCAGGAAAGAAATGAAGACCCGGCAAGATATATCGAGTCAAGTTTTTACCTATTACCCTCAGGACGAAAAGACGAGGGGACGAACAAGGCTACCGGCATGGAAACAGTAACGAATGTTGTACAATCGACAACTGAAAAACAAAGAAAGCTTTACTGAGTGCAGAATTCTGTACTGGTCTGCAGACTCTGCACCATCTCAGAGTTGTACAAGTTGTAACACAGGGCTACACAACACTCTACATGTTACGGACTCAGCCAGGGCTCGATCCCTGGTCCGCGGGGTACCACCCGCCAGGTTGCTATTTTATTCTGAGTTCCTGATTTCCGGTTCAGGACTGCTGGCGCCCTCTGCAGTTGGCGCCCGTTCTCAAATTCCTCCACTGGCATTTTCGGATTTCGATACTTGGCGCCATCCGGCATTCTGGCACCCAGACGCAGACCTGCGATCCTCGATTCAGTCCTGAGGCAGGCCGCACCTCGGCCCTCTGGACTGAGCCTGAGTCCGGTACTTAAGTCCGGACTCAAGCCCCGTTGGGGCATTCAGTCTTCGGCCTCAGTGCTTGTGCTTCAGTGTGACTTGCCGCGACTTTGTGTTCGGAATCGAAGATTGCGACTTTGCGATTTTGAGACTTTGTCACTTCGTGTTTGCGTCCGTCGTGTCGAGTCGAGTCCGTGTCCGAGTCGAGTGAGTGTGTGTGTGCTCTCTCTCTCTCTCTCTCTCTCTCTCTCTCTCTCTCTCTGCTCTGCCTCGGTCTTGTCACACTGGTATTGGAGCGGCGAAACGGCCCTCCCTCCTGCCCTGCTCCGGTGCCGCCACATCATCAACATCGTCGTCGTCGTCACCGTCTTCGGCGCCGCCACGTCGTTGCCATCGTCGTTGTTGCCACGTCGTCGACATTGCTGCCTCCTCATCGTCGATTGCTGCCATGTCATCGCCATCGCCGTTGTCTTCGTCGCCGCTGACACGTCAGCCCCTTGCTGCCTTCGTCGCCATCGCTGCCACGTCATCGGTCCCGAAGCCGACGCGCAGGTAAGTGACCATTAAATTTTCTTTTATTCTTCTTCTCCTTCTCTTTTCCTTCCTCCTCCCCTCATCTCTTCTTCCTCCCTTCCTCCTCCTTATTATCGTTGTCGTCATCATCCCTCCTTCTCCCTCCCCTTCTTTCCCCCTTTCCCTTCTCCCTCTTCCTGTTCTTCTCCTTCAACCTGTGATAACCCGTCCAAACACGGACTGAAACACACAGCTGATTTCTGAGTTTTGCTCATAGACTGAATCCCCTACTGAGTTTCCCGCCTGCTAAGTCTGTGTGTGTGTGTGCTTGCTGGACTGCATGTCTGTCTGAGTGCTGGTTGGCTTGCATGTGTGTGTGTGCCTGTCTGAGTGCTGGTTGGTATGAGTGTGTGTGTGTGTGGCCCACCAGGGCACTTGTTCGTTCATTGGGCCCTCAGGGCTGGTACTTACCTGTGGCCGTGGCTTCGAAGGGTTGCAGCGGGGAAAAAGCACTCAAGTAGCGGATAGGCCGGTACCGCACCCGGCAGGGGGGTAAATATGCAGGTGCCGGAGGCCGAGCAGAAGAAGACAAAAGTGGCATTTTTAGAGGCTGGCATTGTAGGCTAGGTCTAGTGGGTACCAGTCTGAGTCTAGGGCCTGTAGGGGCAATATCAGAGTCTGCAATGATGTTCCCTCCAAAAAGAGGAGGAGGTACCGGTTGCTTGGGAAGGCCAGCGGCCTGGAAGTCACCGCCCAAGAGGCAAAGCAGGCCGCTATATCTTCTGGCCGGGCGGAAGACCCGGGCTCTTTTTCGGTGTGCAAGTTTGGCGACACACTGGTGGAGCGCTGGAGGGAGCAGCGCTGGCCTGGAGCTGTGCTGCTGGGGAGGAAGAAGAAGGACTAGAGGGAGGAAGAAGGAGGAAGGAAGGAGGAAGGGGGAGGAGCGCCAGGGGTACTTACCTGGCTATGGTGGCAGCCATCTTCATCACCTTGGTGGGCGCTGCAGCAAGGAGTCCCCAGNAGGAGGAAGGAAGGAGGAAGGGGGAGGAGCGCCAGGGGTACTTACCTGGCTATGGTGGCAGCCATCTTCATCACCTTGGTGGGCGCTGCAGCAAGGAGTCCCCAGYCGGGGRAGSTACACCAAGAAGCTTCAAGGCAGGGCTGGGCATGGYGGCCTGRGCTRGAGCAGCCATAGCTGCTTTGGGTTGTCCTTTGGACGTCGGAGCAAGGCCTAGTAGTCCGCCATAGCCTCGGCCTATGTGTGTGAAGAGTGGGAGAGGYGGCCATGGCTATGGTGGACCTTGARTGATACCTGCAGTAGAAAAGGGACTYGGACATGATTCTGGACCAGTCATTCAACATTGTATTATTATTTCTTGTATGAATAAGAGAAGGGGGAGATAAGGAGGGGGAGATTGTTGGGCGAAGAAGAAGAGCCTTGTCATTGTCTTTGCTGGTGTACATCTTCTTCTTCTTCTTTCTTACTTCTTCTTCTTCTTCTACTCTCTCTCCTCTCAAGTTCATTCATTTCTTTCTGCAATTGGATGGCATTGTACTTTCYAGTGGATGYGTATCKCGAAATTGGCCAGGGTCATAACATTGGTATMAGAGCGGATTCTACTTGCTGGTGAGAGTTGACTTTGCTACCCTAACCCTAACCKAAGTGGTTGAGGGCAACACTTAGGGTTAGGGTTGGATGGTTGAGGGAAGTGGGGCAGCGTGGCTAAGGGAGGCTGCCCCCACCTGGTTAGGTCATGTGGGGTCAACATAGAACCTAACCAGGTTGCTTGAGAGTGRGATTGGGGTGGCGAGACATTTCGAGGAGACTTCATGCAGCGATTTGAGAGAGGCGACAGTGAGAGGCACTCGCACCTGGAATCTGATTCAAGGGAGACACTTGGCAACTTAAGGGCTATCCTCAAGCAGGCGAGCTTGAGGTTCATCGGCCATTCTGCATCAACGGACTGCAAGTTGCTACTTTGATCTTCAGCATCGACGGGGGATCCGGCGTTGCACTCGGGTGTTGGAGTCAGACCCTCCTAGGAGATAGGACACTAGTGTAGGGGTAGCGTTAGATGGGTCAGGAGGACCATATGAGAAGGGGGGTGAGTTCTCTTCATCTCGAAGCTCAAGGCCACTCAGGTAAGTGTCGTGCATCTACGGGATGCCCATGTATGTGTGTATGGTATTGATTGTCCTGCTGAGGTACTCTGGGTTTCTTTTCCTGCTCCTCTGTGGTCTTGATTGTGTGACTGAATGCATGAGATCTACCTACTCACCTGATGGATGGAAAATGAAGTATCTTGTTATACAAGCCGAGTCTTTCTACAGTGCTTTGTCTTTTCATCACTGAACGATTGTAGTCTGTAGGTTCTGCTAGAAGTTGAAATTTCGTTTTTCAGAGACTGAACTAAGTTCAGATGGGACTCCTCGTGGTTGGGACCTGGTTGAGACCTACGTGGGACCCTTGGGACCAAGCGGGACCCTTGGGACCCAGCGGGACCGGGCCCAAACAAGGAGAGCCTCTGGACCCAAATCGGTTAGGCATTGACCTCTTGTCTTCTTGGCTGAGATATGAGTTCATTCTTCTTGGATTCGGACACCCACTGCCAAGGGGATCTTGGCTTTGACGTTTCGCTTTATTCTGATTGCACCATCCTTTCTACGGTGCTTTGTCTTTTCATCATTGAACGGTTGTAGTCTGTAGGTTCTGCCAGAAGTTGAAATTTCGTTTTTCGGTGCAGTAGAGACTGAACTAAGTTCAGGTGGGACTCCTCTTGGTTGGGACCTGGTTGAGACCTACGTGGGACCCTTGGGACCAAGCGGGACCCTTGGGACCCAGCGGGACCGGGCCCAAACAAGGAGAGCCTCAAGACCCAAATCGGTTAGGCATTGACCTCTTGTCTTCTTGGCTGAGATATGAGTTCATTCTTCTTGGATTAGGAMACCCACTGTCGAGGGGATCTTGGCTTTGACGTTTCGCTTGTATTCTAATTGCACCATCCGTGGCTTGACTCGCACCCTGTACACCACTCAATTCTCCATTGTTGCATTTAGTTACTCGTTGTCTGATTTGCTGTGCGGACACGGAGCTGGTCAGACTGGACTCGAGAGGACCTCGTATACAGCCTGATCAGACAGGGTCGCTGGATCAGACCTCTCTTTGAGTTTGACTGTTTCTTTGTTGTTCTGTACTTCCAAATGAAATGCCGCTCCGACTAGGAGTTCTACCTTCTCTTCTCTGAGCTTTATCTGTTTTTTTGAGTTCATTTCCGATGCCCGTGGAGACTCGCAATCTGAAAGAAGAAAGAGAGAGGAAGGAGAGAGAACAGGGAGAGAGGGAAAGTGATAGTTTGAAGTGGGCAAGGGTTGGGAAAAGGAGTGTTCGTCAAAGCGCGAGGGGGAGTGAACCTCTTGAGAGTCTGATTGATTATTTTGCTGACTGGCGACTCTCTGACCCACCTGTCCATACTGACAGTCCGAAAATGGCCCAGCTTACTTCAACGCAATGGCGGGCCTTGTTAGATGCAGCCAGTGATGCTGAGGAACCTCATCTGCAAGCACTCTTAGATGGTGCAATAAAACGGGAACAGGAGTCAGAGAAGGAGAGGAAGGAGACCTTGCTGAGAAGGCAAGTAGCTCTCCTAGAGACTGTTCCCTCACTGACTGAACAACAGTATGGGGAACAATTGCAGTCCATACTTACAGCCTTTGTTCAAGTCCGGAATCTTGAGGACCATACCACTCAGATCGCTGAAGTCTTTGCAAAGTTGCAGACTCTTCAGGATGATCTAACTGATATGACCCGCAAGTACCATGACTTGACAAAGGAGGTGGCTGACCTGCGACAAGCCCAAGTGGCCAACCCTCTTCCTCTACCCCCTGGATCTAAAGCTGCAATCGAAACCACCTCTGCCCCTCTTACTATATCTTCTTCTACCTCTTCTTCGAGTGTGATGGCAACCCCTTCGGGACCTGCAGCAGGTGCAGATTCCACTGTTGCTATAACAAGCAATGAGGCTGGAACTTTTGCAACTGCTGCAGCCCCAAGACCGAAACCAGTTGCTGCTGGTCCCAGTTGCGCCGGTCCCTATGTGGACCGAAAGGCGGTACAACTGCCGTCTAAGTACGACAGCAAGGAAGACATTGGATCGGCTCCATGAGGGCCTACTTTGAGATTCTGCGAACTCAACCTGAGAACCAAGCAGTGATCATGGGAATGAATGTCGAGCCAGTCGTACGGGGCTTCCTAGAAGTCCAAGCGACACGGGCTGGGTTCCCAAAGGCTGCACTAGCCAAATGACTAAGGACCATCCCAGTTGCCTCCCTCGAAGAACTGTTCCCAAAGGCTGCACTAGCCAAATGACTAAGGACCATCCCAGTTGCCTCCCTCGAAGAACTCCTTATCTCACAATACCAAGATCCGCATGTTGCTGCTAAAGCAAGGATTCAACTTGATAAAGTCAAGCACAGCAAGTGGAATGACTGCATGAAAAGCCTGCAGAACTATCCAAGCAAGATGTTTGCCACTCCTGGTTTGGAATTGTCCGCTCAATCTTGTTTGGATGTGGTTAAGGGCGCGGTCCCAACTAACTTCACTAGTCGCATGGGCAGGGACTACATTGCATACACTGACTGGCTCGCCTTAATGAAGGACGTAGTCAGTCTGGAGGCTATGGACCTCGTTAGCACGACAGGCAGCAAAAAGCCCATGGGCGGACTTCTTTCTGTAAAAACCCGCTCCACAAAATGGAAGTTTCATTTTGGGTTTTAGCTGAAGTGACAAGAGTCACATGAAACCCACGAAGGTGTTCAAAAATTTCGAAATGATTTTGTATTTCTGGGAATAAGCGTAACAAATTCATTTTAATGGTTAAATGAATAGAAGCTCAAAGGAATTGCGTGAAATATGTAAATTGATCTAATTGAGGCATTTTTTTTTTTACTTTTTTGTTGTTTTTTTTCGTGATTGTTCGCCAATTTCTTTGACTACGATATTCAAAATTTTTGGATTCATTTTTAAGATTGAGAACATTCTCAATTGACTATGAAAAACTTTTCGGCTTTTTCGAAGACTCTTAGGAAGAAAAGCTATATGACCTGCAATTGCTACAGCGTAGCCTCCATTTACTGAATTCAAAAAAAAACCTTTTACGCGATTATTGTCACTTCGCCATATTTGTGTTACAGTTCAAGGGCAGCAACCGTTTTGCTCTGCATGACCTGCTGGAGGCCAAAGAAGAAGCCGATGCGGATGACCCCACTCTTGGTGACGACCAAGAACAGGACTTCGATACAGCTTGTTCTTCAGCCCATGAGTCCGATGCGAATAAAGAAGAAGAAAAAAATTCTGCCTTTAAAAAGACTGCCAGCACTAAGGGACCGAATCAGAGTGTCGGGAAAAGCTATGTCCAACTCCCCAAAGGAGTTAAGGTCAAGAAGGGGGTTTGCCTGCATTGCCAAAAGCCAAATCATAAAGTTCAAGACTGTTATAGGCTGCAGGGAAACCAGAATCGGGCGTAGAGTCAGATTCAACAAACTCTACAGCAGGGGAGTCCAGTTCTGTTGAAAATCAGCAGCCCTCCCCTCAAGCCCAATCATCTGTTGAAGACAAGGCTGAGGTAAGTAATGTCTTGTATGTCGAGCCTTGGGAGGACTCTGAGATGGTTGACTTCCACTACCACTTGGAGCATTGGGCTGAGATGAAACAGCAGCGTGCCCAAGGGACAGTGAAGTTGATCTTCTTTAAACTTCTCATCAACCACCGCTATCTCCGTGTGTTGGTTGACTATGGTGCTACAGCTAATTTCATGTCACCACATGGGATACGCAAGGTGGGTTTGGGGATGAAGCAAGTGGCCCTGCAGAACCCTTGCCAAACCCAAATTGGCAATAAGGAAGTTTTCTCTTCTACACATGCAGTCAAAGGTGTGCGCACTACCTTTGACAGAGGTGAGACTGTCACCCATGCACTGAACTTCTTTGTCCTTGACAAGTGCCCCTTCGACACTGTCCTTGGCTCGGGCTGGCTGCAGTCCCAATGCTAATCGACCAAGTGGAAGGAGTCACTCTTCATGGTCAAAGATGCTCAGGGGAACGAGCTTTTGTCCTCTTGGATGAGAAGCACGAATTCCCAGTGACTTTTCTAAATGCATTAAAGTTCTGCAAGAAGTGGCGCAAGCACAAAGAGGAAGAACAGCTGTATGTTGCCTTTGTTTGTCCTGCTCATGTGCCTTCTACTTTTGCGGCTGGTACCACTACTACTTCGATTAATGATCCTACTTCTAGTACTTCTACTACTAGCACCTCTACATCTCTAACCTCTAATAGTCCAAATGATCCTACTTCAGATTCGGTCGTCTCTATACGCGACTTGCGACCGGATCTTGGTGATCCCTTTGCTGATTCCCCACCCCCACCTGTCCCATCAGACATCCAAACCCTCCTCAATCGGTTTCCGGAAGTCTTGGCCGAGCCACGTGGAGTCCCCACTCGACCGGTTCAAGACACCATCGAGTTGGTCGAGGGTGTTGTTCCTCCAAAGGGCTGCGTGTACCGTATGGGACCCGGCGAGTTGAAGGAACTCCGGAGACAGGTCGATGAGATGATTGACAAAGGGTGGATCAAACCAAGTGAATCTGAATTCGGTGCTCCTGTGTTGTTTGTGCCAAAGAAAGGAGGCAAACTCCGCATGTGTATTGACTATCGCGGTCTAAACCGCATCACGAGAAAAAATGCTTATCCATTGCCTCGTATAGACGACTTGCTTGATGTCGCAGGCGGGTGCAAGGTCTTCTCCAAGATCGATCTCAAGTCTGGCTACCGCCTGATTGAAGTCGATCCTGCGGACCAGCACAAGACCGCGTTCAAAACACGCGACGGGCTTTATGAGTTCACCGTAATGCCCTTCGGTCTTACGAACGCACCAGCCACTTTCCAAAGCCTCATGGACAAGGTCCTCCGCGAACAGATTGGCCGGTTTGTGGTAGTGTACCTGGATGACATTCTGATCTTCAGCAAGTCCATGGAGGAACACCTCAAGCATCTTGAGGAGGTGCTCGCTATCCTCAAGAAGACGCAGCTCCATCTCAACTTGGAAAAATCTGAGTTTGGGAAGGATAGCGTCATCTATCTAGGGCACCGTTTGTCTGCTGCAGGCCTAGAGCCTGAGGCAACCAAGATTGAGGTCATACGCGATTGGCCTCAACCTGCGAACATTCGCGAATTGCGTTCTTTCTTTAATCTCGCGTCGTACTATCGGAAGTTTGTACCCCGTTTTTCTATCATTGCTCGTCCGTTGTCGCAACTAACCAGTAAAAATGTGTCTTATTCCTGGAATGCCGCGTGTACGGAAGCTTTTCGAACTCTCAAGGAAGCCTTAGTAAGTTACCCGGAACTCCGCATTGCAGATCCCAAACTGACCTTCGTAGTTACTACGGATGCAAGTCAGTATGGAATCGGTGCAGTGCTGCGGCAAGATGACGGCAATGGCCTGCGGCCACTCGAGTACTACAGCAAACGAATGCCCAGCGTAAAGGTCGCCACTTCCACCTACATGCGCGAGCTCTACGCTTTGCGTATGGCGTTGGATCATTGGAAACATTACCTTTTGGGACGCCACTTCAAAGTCTTCTCAGATCATGAGACCTTGAAGTGGATCAAACAGCAGACTACTCTGTCCCCTACCTTGCTTCGCTGGTTCCATGAGATTGGCATTTTTTATTTTGAATTAAGACACAAAAAGGGTTGTTATAATCAAGTCGCTGACGCATTGTCTCGCCACCCTGAGTACATGACTTGCCTTGTGAAATCCTACGACCTCCGGAAGAAACTGAAGGAGGAGCTCGTAGAGCAGACAGCCAAGGATCCGAAGCTTAGCTCCATCCTTGAGCAGCTGCGGGCTGATCCTAGTAGTTAGCCTGATTTCCACGAGTATGGAGGACTGATTTTTCGTCGTTACGGGAACCATGACCATTTGTGTGTGCCCAACCATGAGCCTCTCCGCACACACTTTCTGGACTTGACTCATGGCCGGAGCGGGCACTTCGGCATGGCAAAAACGTACGCTAACCTGCTGAGACAATTTGATTGGCCTGGCATGAAAGGGACTACTGAGAAATCAAACCTTGCAGACAAAAGCCCATGGGGCTACTCACACCCCTACCCATTCCTGATGGTCTCGGGGAGTCTGTCTCCATCGACTTCATTGACATGGGTAAGGTAAGCAAGAACGGGTATTCACAAGTCATGGTGATTGTTGACCGATTGTCAAAATTTCTCAATCTGATTCCTTTGCCGCCCCACGCCCCAACAGATTTAGTGATTCGCGAATTCCAACAAAAATACCTGCTGCAATTCGGAACCCCGAAGACTTGTGAGCGATCGGGATTCGCGTTTCATTAGCAATGAATGGAAGGATTTCACGTCCCACCTACAGTCTTCCCCCGAACAAAACGCACGTGCGTTATTTACGAATAGAACCCACGGAGTGCGTTCTATTCGTATATAACGCACGTGCGTTATGCTACGAATAAAGGGCACCAAGTTTGGAAAACGCCCCCCCTGGAAAAATCGAGTATATGTCCTCCGGACCTCCCCTGACGGTGCTACGAATTAGCATGGTCCCTGTCCAAGAATGACAGGCACGAATCGACACAAGGGCCTCGCTCCACTACTCTCGATATGCACAAAAGACAAAAATCGTGGCGATGTATCTTTCCATGTTCTAGCTGAAGATTCACTTTCGTTAGACACATCTCGAGAGTAGTGGAGCGAGGCCAAAGCCCACAATTCAAAAAAAAAAAAGACAAAAAAGGGCGCCATACTGGCCACTGTGGTAGCATTCGAACTGTCGCCCCTGCTACCGGTGGTACGTACCATTCGAGCTGTGCAGCGCCCGTCCGGAGTAGCGACTGCCAAGATCCGCCGTTGCCGTCAGCCACCAAGAACCACCATCGCCATCCCCATCAGCCGTGCCAACATCCGCCAAGCACGTTATTTCCTCCTCCTCCTCCTACTACTACTACTACTACTACTACTACTCGTGCTGCTGATCTTCTTCCCCTGTGCGATAGAGACGTTGCCATGTGGTTGATCAAGCAGCAGCACCTCAACTGACGCAGGTGCGATCGGGTGCTCTCTTTCCTTACGAGCCATCACGAAAGAATTCAGACCAGCCAAGAATGTGCTTCAGTGGAAGAGGCGCACGACAGCCAAGAACATACTTCAGGTGAAGAGGCGACCAAGAACGTACTTCAGAGGAAAAAGCGAGCGAGTGGGAGAACGCAAGTCAGCCAGTGCACGCGCGCGAGCGAGCGAACGAGAGAGAGAGAGAGAGAGAGAGAGAGAGAGAGAGAGAGAGAGAGAGAGAGAAGACTTCTCGTCGCCATCGCCAGTTCAGCCCCCTGACACTTTCTTTTTCTCCCCCCCCCATTTCTACACCATGTTCTTGGGCCACTATTGTGGCCAGATACGTGCATGTCACTGATACACGTATATCCCTGTACCTGACCAAAACAGCAGGCAACAGGGCTGCTCTTTTCATTTATTTGTTTCGACGATTTTCCTATTTTCTTTTATTCCTTCTTTTTTTGTCTTCTTGGGCTGCTATTGCAGTCAGATACATGCATGTGGCTGCTACGTGCATCGGAGAGAGAGAGAGAGAGAGAGAGAGAGAGAGAGAGAGAGAGTTCCTTGCATAGCGCTGATAGGGATTCGTGATACGGTGTGCCCATCTGATCTGATGATTCCTGCAAGTCGAACGCGACTTCCGTGAAGTTTGTGCGCCCATCTGATCTGATGATTCCTGCAAGTCGAAAGCAACTTCCGTGAAGTTTCGCGCACGTATTGTGTGCTTTGGCGCGCGCGCACGCGTGTGTGTGTGTGTGTGTGTGTGTGTGTGTGTGAGAGAGAGAGAGAGAGAGAGAGAGAGAGAGCTGAAGTTGGAGCTCGCGAGAGAGAGAGAGCTGAAGTTGGAGCTCGCGATTCTCTCCTGCTTCCATCACGATCCAATCGGGGGGAGAGAGAGAGAGAGAGAGAGAATTCTCGTCGCCATCGCCAGTTCAGCCCCCTGACAATTTTTATTTTTTTTTTCCCATTTCTACACCCTGTTCTTGGGCCGCTATTGTGGCCAGATACGTGCATGTGACTGATACACATATATCCCTGTACCTGACCAAAACAGCAGGCAGCAGGGCTCGACGATTTTCCTTTTTTCTTTTATTCCTTTTTTTTTTGTCTTCTTGGGCTGCTATTGCAGTCAGATACATGCATGTGGCTGCTACGTGCATCGGAGGGGGGGAGAGAGAGAGAGAGAGAGAGAGAGAGAGAGAGAGAGAGAGAAGA